TTGGCCCCCAAAAGGTGAGAAAATGGTCATTCTTCGGTTAACGCTTTCGATAGGAAATGAGCCAAATAGAAGGCTCAAAGACTAAAGGTCATATGAGTTGGACATGAACCACCAAACTGAAGAATAGCAAGCTGCATAAAACTAACATCACAATTTTTTATACCGAACATGGGGTTCTCTAACGGGTTTTAGTCTATTTAAGTTTAATCTACTTATAGTGAAGAAAACATATAAGAACGCCCTATTAATCTACGCCGTTTGCATTAAAAATTCTTAAAAAATGTCTACGTCATGGGAAGAAATGAGTTAAACGAGCATGTACCATCTCCTCGGTTATTGGTTCTTGCAAGCTTAAATGTGTTATAGCCGGCAGCACCGGTGTTATAGCCGGCAGCACCGAGCCTTTGTTCATACATTTGCACCAATTCTTCATTTCCAACCCAAAATTCCTATCATCGAACCAAACAACCACAACAAAGATAAGGCTTATATCATCATATTTGAAATTAAGATTGTGCCTAAAAAAACTGTTAATAGAAGATAAGGGCACATGAAACCCACCTTGAGACATATAATGGAAGAGCTTTCGTACAACAGCCAATCAAATATCCTCTCATTTCTAGTTAACCAAAATGTTCTAAAATCACTTTCACGTACGCTATGATTATGTTCCATAAAAAAATGAAAATTAGCAGAATTTACAAACGGAAACAAATCAATGAAAGAGAGGAAGAAGACATCACCTGCTGGTCCAAGCGCTTGTAGATAGGAGCCAGGATGTTGAAGGTGGTACAAGAAACACAAGGTCCGAGATGGATGAAGCAAATTTACCACTTTTAGTCCTCAAAATCGTTCCTTTAAAAGGAACAGACTCGTTTTTACTTGAATTAATATTAGCAAATTTAGGGTCTTTAAGTAAACTGGCCAACATCACATGTTTCAAAAAAAAAAACATCAACAAGACAGCAAAATCGAAAGAGAAACAAAACCCAAAGTACCAAATTGCCATATACCATTTCAAAATTTTGCCGCCTAAGATTCCTGTGCTTGTTGTTGTTGTAAGCAAGTAGAATAGGGAAAAGGGGGAAAATGTTCCTTTCTTCTTTTTTTGGGTTCAGAAAGGGTGGTTGAATTGAAGTTTAGATTTTTCAAGGCTTGTGGACAAAGGCAGATGTAGGTGAAGAGTAATGAATTAATATGGTGGGGATTATTTTTAATTTGTTTCCACAAAAGTTATGGAAACAATCACTCATAAACAAACCGATCTAAACAATTCCGTTCGAAAATAATGAAAATTAAAAGAAACAAAGATTTACAAACGAAAATAAAAATTGGGATAAAACAATTATTGATATTTTGATGACGAAGGAATCGAACCTTTTCGAAGAGCCGCTTTTGAGTTGAAATGAAAGAGATGACGATGAATGGGAAATTACAGAGGAATTTGGAATTTTATAGCAGAAACCAAGGGCTTGGTTTTAGTTTAGGGTTTCTCTTATGGCCGTTGGATTTTAATGGTCCTTGATTCAACGGTTGCTAATTAAGTTTGCCACGTCGGATGTTCACACTTGATGATGTTGCCGTGGGTAGCACTAACACTGAGGCATTTTATTCAACAAAGGCACCATTTAAACAAACAATTTTTTCGTATTATTTCCATAAATTGTAGTCATAAAAATCTTATTAAATTTATAAATGCTATAAAATAGTTGTTATAATATTATAACAAGTATAATATTTTGATAAATTTAATGTTTATTTTATAATAATTTAATAAAATTTAATAATCATTAATAATAAATTGATTAATTTAAAAAATATTTGATAATTATTTAAAGGTATTTAATAACATTTAATATACTTTAATCGATATGTCAGATCATGTTATGTTTCTTATGTTGATGGTGGAAAAAAGTTTGTTAAATATATTTATAAAAATATATGTTTATCTTTTAAATTTTACAATCATCTTGACCATTAAACACAACACTCATTATATTCAAAATCTTCTTTCAAATCCCAGAGTTGTTTAATAGTCCTAAATGCATCATAAGTAGAGTGTACAAATCCAAAAGTAACCCAAAAGAATGAATTAATTGATATATTTCGAAATTAATTTTCTCAAAATCGTGTAACTAAAGTAGAACACTTGATCTCAAAATTTTCTAACGAAATCACATGTTTGTAAACTTGCGGCATTTGTAAACACAAACGCCACTAAAACACGAGTCTATAGCGGCGTTTGTATAAAAACGCCACTAAATCATGAGTCTATAGCGACGTTTGTAAAAAATGCCACTAAATCACGAGTCTATAGCGGCGTTTGTAACAAACACGCCACTAAAGTATGAGTCTTTAGCGGCGATTGTATAAAAACGCCACTAAAGTACGAGTCTTTAGTGGCGTTTGTATAAAAACGCCACTAAATCATGAGTCTATAGCGACGTTTGTATAAAAACGCCACTAAAGTACGAGTCTTTAGCGCGTTTGTATAAAAACGCCACTAAATCATGAGTCTATAGCGGCGTTTGTATAAAAAACGCCACTAAAGTACAAGTCTATAGCGTCGTTTGTATAAAAATACCACTAAATTACAGACTTTAGCGGCGTTTGTATAAAAACTCCACTAAATTACATTCTTTAGCGGCATTTGTATAAAAACGCCGCTATAGTAGGAGTCTTTAGCAGCGTTTGTTCTAAAAACGCCGCTACAAACGCCGCTATTAACCCATTTTGCTGTAGTGAGAGGAAAGCCAAGGGTTAGTTCGGTTTCAGTTTCCCACCCCATCATCGTCGCCTCACAACAGTCACGGCCTTGTCTGAGTTTCCTCATGGCGGAGGAATAGAGAGGGGGGAGGAGAGTTGAGAGAGTTTTTTTTCTCTCTCTCTCCATTTTGGTTTTGAATCGAGCAAATGAAGTGAAATGGGGAGAAAGGTCTTTGTTTGAGGCTTATATTACTTGATCGAAACGACTTCGTTCTAGGGGACCTTATGCGTGTTTTCAGAGTGTAAGTTAATTACACTTTAGGTCCCTCATGCTTTGTAATATCATATTGAAGCCGTGTAATGAATTTTCACTTTATTTGATTTCGAGCCTTTATTTTCATTACTTATGTTTTAGTCCTGTTATTATCTGCTATGATATTCTGGTTATTATTGGTCTTTGGTCATAATATTTGTTATTATTTCATTTCAGTCACTAAATTAGTGTGGTGTGTATTTTTGTTGATATTCGAATTTGGCCATCACAGTTGTAAATACTTTATTTTAGTCACTGTTTGGTAGTTGGTTTAATTACTGTTTGATTCTTTACGTTTTTGGTTTATTTTATTTTAGTCCTATATATTATTTATGGGTTATTTACATTTCTGGTGCTTGTATTATTTAACATTTGTGATTTGGGCTCTGGTTTATTTGTAATTATTGTTTTAGTCCTTTTAGTTTCTATTTTTATTGTTTATCCCTTTAAGATTATGTTTTTACTATTTAGCCCTTTAAGATTTTGTAATTAATATTTTAGTCCTTTTAGTTTTTGTTTTTACTGTTTATCCCTTTAAGATTTTGTTTTACTATTTTAGTCCTTTGAGTTTATGTTTTTTCTATTTTGGTCGTTGTAATTATAAATACTTACTTTTTGATCATTATATTTTGGGTTGTAATATTCATTTGCATTTATGTCGATCCCTTATGTATGTGCATTTATATTGTTATGTATTCATTTCTATCATAGGTAAAAATTATGCTTAACTCTATGTGTTGTAAATATTTTATTTTGTATATTTCTATTTGTATTTATTTCCATTGTATGTCTATTTAAATATTATCCGAATATTTCAAGAACACGCATTTGTAGAACGGGCATGGAAAGTATCATTTGATCGAAGTGGTACAATCTAATACGACGTTCGAACTAAATGGAACTTGAAATAAATCAATTTTAGTTTTGTTAATTGTTAATTTATTTTTATTTTACATTGAACAATGCAAGTCATGTTTCTATAAATGGCAATGTATTTTATTATACGCAAATGTCGATTCTACATTTATATTTGATTCACATTTTTAAAATGAGGAAAGAATATTCTTTAAAGATAAGAAATAGACGAGTTAGCTTTCCCGACGGGGGATTGCTAATCTCGATATTTCTTTTCAAGTTAAAGAATTTTCTCTGATAAATAATTTGAAGCAAGTTAATTATATTTCAATAAATGGATTATATTTTAATTTTATATTCGATTCATAATTTCCACCAATTACGACAACGCGTAAGTGACACAGTACCAGTTTTTGGGCGTTGTGGGGGGTGATAACCCTTCTCCACGCGTAATCGACTCCCGGACCAATTAATTTATATTTTGGTATACACAAACAACCTTTGTCTTAAAAAACAAGTTTTCTTAAAATTGTTTTAAGAGACGTTTTTAGGTATTCGACCTACCTAACCCAAAGATCGATGGAGACTCATTTTCAATTTAATTTCAATTAATCCAAATCACTAATTTTCCAAAATTAAAGTCATAATCATTTTTTAAATAATATTGAATTGTTTTATCAAAAAAATGGTTATAACAAAAATAATAATAAAATAATTCATATTATCATAAAGCGATTAAAATATGAGCAATTCAAAAGTTAAGTAATCAAAAGTTAAGTAATTAAATTTAAAAAATTAAACTTCAGTTATCTAAATAGGAGTGAAAAGATAATTGAATGATGAATGGATAATTTACCCTTCTACAAAAGAGAGATTCAAATATTATAACAGGTCGGTAACAAAGTGCGGGCATTTCTCTAAGTTTGGACGATGAAGATTGCTATAAAAGCTGAACCTTTCACGAAGTCAAACTGTTGCATACCACAAATCCATTTCTAAAAACAACAAAATAATCTGAGTGTTACATCGTAACATCTGTCATCATGTCCTAATTTTGGTCTCATGGACATCATCTATAAATTCCTCAGCAAATCCTCTGTGAAACTCCGTCGTCGTTTATCTCAGAACATGGACAAGCTTTCTTTCTTGTTATCTTTGCTTCTTGTGGGTACTTTTGGTTTCGTCAATGGCGGAAAATCGAAGGGTAAAAAGAATTTTCAAGTCGAAGTAATTGAGCTGAAGACCGGGAACATATCTGCTAAGTTCACCAACTATGGTGCAAGCATGATGTCACTTGTTGTTCCAGACAAAAATGGTTGGTTCCTTTCCTTCGTTTTCAGATTTTGATTTTCTTGTCTGGGTTGAGATTTTCTTTCGTTTTCTCCTTCTCTGCAAAATTTCAGGTCAACCTGGTGATATTGTTCTTGGATATGATTCTCCCGATGCATATAAGGTTAGCTTTATAAATATATATGATTTGCATGATGACACAAAACTAATTGATCAAACACTGTACAGAACGATGAAACATACTTTGGAAACGTGGTCGGACGAGTCGCGAATCGAATCCGAGACGGGAAATTTTCTTTGAATGGCAAGGAATATCAACTGAAGCCTAATGAAAATGGGAAACACTTGCTTCATGGTAAGCTTAATAATCACTGATAGAACAAGTTTCTGAGATTCTTTGCTTGATCTTTGGTACATTGTGTTGCAATTTAACGAGAAAAAATCATTAGGTGGCCACGGAGCATTGGCTGATGTTGTCTGGGAAGTGAAGAAGATAAAGAAAGATGTTGCCGATCCCACCGTTCTCTTTGCTTATGATAGTCCAGACGGTGAAAATGGTAAGAAAATACATCATCATTTCTCATTGCAGATGACTGATCATAAGGCCAACAGATTTGATCGTTGGTACATTTTGCCGCAGGATTCCCCGGCGAGGTTAAAATCACCGTCCGGTATCTCCTCCGTGCAGATAACCGATTGAGAGTGACAATGAAAGCCAAAGCTATAAAACATGCTACCCCTTTGAATCTAGTGCAGCATACATATTGGAACCTCGGTAACCATGACAGTGGTGATATCTTGTCCGAAGAACTCCAGCTTTTCGCTAATGAGATCACGCCTGTCGATAATGAACAAATCCCCACAGGTAAACTCGAACCTGTGAAAGGAACTCCATATGATTTCCTCGAATCGAGGGTGATTGGAAGTCGAATCAAGGAACTTCCCGGAGGTTACGACATAAACTATGTCATCGAAGGTCCCGACGACCCCATCAAGATGAAGAAAACAGCAATGCTGAAGGATCCGAAGTCGGGGAGAGTTATGAAACTGACTTCGAACCAACCCGGCCTGCAATTCTACCGGAAACCTGATCAAAGATGTGAAGGGTAAAGGAGGAGTAGTTTATAAAGCTCATTCGGGACTGTGCTTGCTGACTCAAGGCTTTCCTGATGCAGTAAATCACCCAAATTTCCCTTCCATAATTGTTTCACCAGGAAAGCCTTACAAGCATAAAATGCTGTATAAGTTCACGATTGCATCGGACAAAGATAAAAAATCCGATGGGAAGAAATCCGATGGGAAGAAATCCGATGAGAAGAAATCTGACAAGTCATGAGTTAGAACAGTTTGTTTTTTTTGACAGTCCTGATATGGGACTTTAGCATGTTTTCTTTTTGATGTAATTCATTCTGTTATTTGATTATCCTTTGATGGATTAAATAAGAACAAGTAATTTTTACTATTGCAGTGTTGACGAAAACGGGTAAAGAAAACAAAAGAACACGAGAATTTTACGAGGTTCGGCAATGTGCTTACGTCCTCGGTGCCTAGGCGGCGCTAGAAGTTTTTATTCAAAAATGATATTTTAGGTCTAGGTTACATCTCTATTTATAATAGAAAACCCTGGTACATAATTACAAAATTAACCCTGTACCGTACCGCGAGGGCTGCGCCCCCGCACCCCCCAACCCACATAATTCGTAACCCCACAACGAGACTTTCTTTGTAAGGACAGTTGATGTTCGCTTCGCTCACTCCGCTCCATCTCCTGTCCTCTTTACTGGTATATTTATGAGCCATACCTAACAAATCTCTACCTTGGCGAATATCCTGCCTCTTGGAAAATTCAATGTGGGTTGGGTTACCTTGATTCTTTAACAACTCGAAACATTCAACAAGTCCAAGCAATGCTTGAACTTGTCTATCGTAACTGGCTTAGTGAACATATCAGCGGCATTTTCATCAGTATGTACCTCAGCGGCATTTTCATCAGTATGTACCTTCTGAAACAAAACCTCTCCAGATGCAACCAACTCTCTGATCTTGTGGAACCTTACATCAATATGTTTAGTTCTAGCACGATACACCTGATTCTTAGCCAAGTGAATAGCACTTTGATTATCACAAAGCAACTGAACTCCACCTTGTTGAACACCCAACTCCTTCACTAAACCAGTAAGCCATAAAGCTTCTTTTGCAGCTTCAGCCGCTGCCATGTACTCAGCTTCAGTTGTAGATAGAGCCACAATAGATTGAACAGTAGACTTCCAACAAATAGGCCCTCCACCAAGAGTAAAGACATACCCTGTCGTAGATCTTCTATTATCCAAGTCACCTGCATAGTCTGAATCCACATATCCTACAACCAAAGGATTATCCCGCTGACTCCCAAAAACAATTCCATGTCCCACAGTACCCTTTAAGTACCGAAAGATCCACTTGACTGCTTCCCAATGTTGCTTACCAGGTTTAGACATGTACTTACAAACTTGACTAACAGCATGAGCTAAATCAGGACGAGTACATACCATCGCATACATCAAGCAGCCAACAGCATTAGAATATGGAACCTTTGCCATATCTTCAGCTTCCTTATCTGTCTTGGGGCACTGTTCTGATGAGAGCTTAAAGTGATTCGCCAATGGAGTGCTAACTGGTTTTGCGCTGCTCATCGCAAACCTTTCTAGCATTTTCTCAACATAACCCCGTTGAGATAGCCGCAGTTTCCTTGAGTCTCTGTCCCTGCAAATTTCCATTCCAAGAATTTTCTTTGCAGCACCTAAATCTTTCATATCAAATTCCTGACTCAATAAAGTTTTCAAACCGATAACATCATCCATGTTCTTCGCAGCAATCAACATATCATCAACATACAGTAATAGAAAAATAAAAGAACCATCATCAAGGCTCTTAACATAGACACAACAATCATACTCACATCGGTTGTAGCCAATCTTGATCATATAGGAGTCAAACCGTTTATACCACTGTCTCGGAGACTGTTTCAACACGTACAAAGATTTCTTCAATCTGCAAACTAAATGCTCGTTTCCAGGTTGAGTGAAACCTTCAGGTTGCCGCATGTAGATCTGCTCCTCTAAATCACCATGCAAAAAAGCAGTTTTAACATCCATCTGCTCTAAATGCAAATCCCAACTAGCCACCAATGCAAGTACTGCTCGGATTGAAGTGTGCCTGACCACAGGAGAAAAGATTTCATCATAATCAACTCCTTTCTGCTGTGAAAAACCCTTCGCTACCAAACGAGCCTTGAACTTCTCCCCCTCTTTTTCTGTTACTACTGGTTTCTTCTTATACACCCATTTGCAACCAATCGGCTTCTTACCCTCAGGAAGGGGAACTAACTCCCATGTGCGATTGTGATTCAAAGACTCCATCTCCTCAACCATGGCTTCCATCCACTTGTCGTTTTCCTGACTAGTAACGGCATCATGAAAAGTAACCGGATCATCACTGCTAACAATAAGTGCAAAAGATACCAAGTCTTCAAAACCCAATCTGTTCGGAGGCTTTATATTCGTCCGTCTCACCCTGTCTCTGGCGAGACTATAATCCTGCAAATCATCCGTAGTGGAACCACCAGAAGTCGGTTGAGAAGTTTCTGGTTTCTCAACTGGAAACTGCTCGAAATCCACCACTGTCGTGTCTTGCTTCTGCTGCAACATGGATTGTTCATCAAAAACGACATCTCTACTAATCACAACTTTCTTCGCAACTGGATCCCAGAACTTGAATCCTTTGACACCTTTCTTGTAACCCAGAAAAATGCACTCCTTCGATTTTGCATCAAGTTTGGATCTCTCATCAGCAGGTACATGCACATAAGCAGGACAACCAAAAATCCGTAAGTTATCAAAACTAACATCATGACCAGTCCATACCTCTTCTGCAACTTTCCCAGCTAGCGATGCCCTTGGCGATCTGTTGATAAGGTAACACGCCATGTTAACAGCCTCAGCCCAGAAGTGTTTGGGAAGCCCCATTCAACCGCAAACATCTGGCTCTTTCATTCAACGACCTGTTCATTCGTTCCGCAACACCATTCTGTTGTGGTGTCTTGCGCACTGTAAAATGCCTCTGAATCCCATGTTCCTTACAGAATTGTAGGAACTGTGAATCTGTGTACTCCGTACCATTGTCAGACCGCAAACACTTGATTTTTCGTCCTGTTTGGTTTTCTACCTCAGCTTTCCACAGCTTGAACTTCTCAAAAACTTCAGATTTCTGTTTCAAAAAATACACCCAAACTTTCCGTGAAAAATCATCAATAAAAGTAACATAGTACCTAGATCCACCCAAAGACGATGTCGTGGAAGGCCCCCATACATCAGAATGCACATAATCAAGAATCCCTTGAGTTGTGTGCTTCGCAGTCTTGAAACGGACTTTAGTCTGTTTACCAAGAACACAATACTTGCAAAAGTCGAGCTTACAGCTTTTGACACCATGCAACAAGTTTCTCTTGTGTAATTCTGCCATACCACGTTCACTAAGATGAGCAAGGCGCATATGCCACAATTTTGTCGTATCATCACAGGACTCAACAGAGTGAACTCCACCTGCAACGGTACTCCCTAACAATCTGTAGATATTCCCTGCAGTCATCTTGCCTTTCATCACAGTCAATGCTCCTTTAACAATCCGAATGGTTTCCCTATCCTCGTCAGCCTTAGGGATAAAACCATTCTTGTGCAAAGTGCCCAAGGAAATCAAATTCTTCTTCAAGTCTGGGATATGTCGAACACCACTCAACGTCCGAACGGAGCCATCGTGCATCTTAATTCTGACATCACCAATACCAACAATATTGCAACATCGATCATCACCCAAATAAACCGAACCAGAATTAACCGGCCTGTATGTCGAAAACCATTCCCTATTTGGCGTGATGTGATAAGAACATCCAGAATCAAGAATCCAAGCATCCGTCAATTGTGTCGTTGAAATAGAAAGCATATCACCCTCACTGCAATCAGAATTATCATCCTCGACCACGTTCACAGACTTGGATGAGCCATCACGCTTCTCATCAGTCTGCTTTTTCAACTTCGGACAGTCTCGCTTCATATGTCCCGCCTCCTTGCACTTGTAACAGTGAATCGTCTTCTTATCCCTGGATTTGGATCTGGAATTCCGCTTCCCGGACCCTGCTTCTCTGGCTTCCGTCCACGATCTCGATTACCCTTGACATATAAGCTATCGGCTTGAGAGCTTTCCCCTGCATTCTGCTTCCGCTGGTTGTGAGCCAACAAGGCTGCAGTAATCTCCTCAACATTGATAGTCTCTTTCCCATATGTAAGAGTAGTCACCATGTGTTCGTAAGAGGGAGGCAACGAACACAACAGAATCATCGCTCTGTCTTCATCCTCAATTTTCACATCAAGCCGAGCCAGATCAGAAACGATTTGATTGAATACATTCACGTGTTGCGCCAAATCGTGATCGTCCTGCATCTTCAGCCCATACAGCCGCTGCTTCAGATACAGTTTTGTCGTTAAGGATTTGGACATAAACTGACTTTCCAACTTCCTCCAAATTTCGTCTGGAGACGATAGATGCATGACGTGATACATGACCTCGTCCGCCAAGCATAATCGTATGGTTCCTGCCGCTCGCTGCTGCAATTCTTCCCAATCTTCCTCATCCATCGACGCCGGCTTTGTAGATCGCAAAGCCTTCAAGATCCCTTGCTGCGCCAATAGATCCTTCACCCTCGTTTGCCATAATCCGAAGTTACCCTGACCATCGAATTTCGCGACTTCAAATTTTGCTCCTGACATCTGATACCAATTGTTGATGAAAACGGGTAAAGAAAACAAAAGAACACGAGAATTTTACGAGGTTCGGCAATGTGCTTACGTCCTCGGTGCCTAGGCGGCGCTAGAAGTTTTTATTCAAAAATGATATTTTAGGTCTAGGTTACATCTCTATTTATAATAGAAAACCCTGGTACATAATTACAAAATTAACCCTGTACCGTACCGCGAGGGCTGCGCCCCCGCACCCCCAACCCACATAATTCGTAACCCCACAACGAGACTTTCTTTGTAAGGACAGTTGATGTTCGCTTCGCTCACTCCGCTCCATCTCCTGTCCTCTTTACTGGTATATTTATGAGCCATACCTAACATGCAGGTATAAACAGATTGCAGTAATTTTGGTTGATGGTGTGGGTAATGCAAATGCAAAGTTTTCCACTTTAGTTGGACACTGTGAATTTTAATATAATAT